GAAGCGATTCGGCCGCGCGGCCGCCGGGGGGTCCATCGCGGTGGACGCGGTTAAATCGATCCGCTCCTCCTCCCCGGCGCGGCGGCGTTTCGCGCGGGCGGGGCCGGCGGAAACCGGATCCCCCCGGCCTCTCGGGAAGGTCTCGTTCAGGACCTTCTCGAGGTTCCGGTGGTGCTGCTGCCATTTCGCGTCTTTCCCGCCCACCGCGACCGGGCGGGCGGTGGTCGCGGCCGCCCCCCTTTTCCCTTTCCCTTCCCCTTCCCCGTCCCCTTCCCCGCCGTCCTCGGCGTCCGCCTCGTCGAGGTCGTCGGGTTCGAAGAGCCTCACCCGCGCGGAGCGCTTGGCGGGGAGGTAGTTGCCGTAGTTATCCACATCCATGTAATACTCCTCCCCCTCCACGAGCGGATTCGACGCCACCCCGGCTTTGGCGTCGTCGTCGTCGTTTGCGCTTTCGTTTTCGCCGAGATCCCAATCCTCCTGGGCGGCCAAATCGACGGAGGTGATGGGGTTTAAGGGGTCGTTCCCGACCTCCACGGGGGCGACCGCCGCGGCGTCCATCACCCCCGCGAGCTCCGCCTCGGCGAGGTCGGCGAGCCGCTCCACGGTGAAGCCGTCGCCCCCTTCCCCCTCCCTTTCCCCCTCCCTCTCCTCGCCCTCCGCGTTGAAGGCGTCGCGGGTGATCGGGGCGGCGCGAAAGTCATCCACCTCCACCGCCTGATCCTCATTCCCCGTGGGGTCGTAGTTGATGAGCCCTTTGATTTGCTTCAACTTCCGGTCCACGAGTTTTTTCTGCTTCTTCTTCAGCTCCTTGGACCTCTTCTTGCGGATCTCAAGCAGCTCCTGGGCGATCCGCGTGATCCCTTCCGGGCTGTCGAAGTCGAACTCCAGCTCCTCCTCGCTGCGATCCCCGGCCGCCGCGGCGTCGCTGTCGACGCCGGAAAGCTCGCCTTCGTCATCGTCGGCGTTTCCGCTTCCATTTCGTTCGCCTCTTCCCGCGGTAGCTTGACGACGCGCCTCCTCAAGGAGGAGCTGCTCCCGCCAGCGAAGCAGCCGGCGTTGATCCCCCCTCCCCACCTGTTGGAGGTCGCCGCAGAGGTAGACGAGCTCCTTCTTCGAGTTTTTCGATCGCAACCACGCCTTATCCTCGTCGCTGGCGAAACGCAGCTCGTGGTGGGAGGCGAGGAACGCCTTGGGGTCCTCCGCGCGGAGAAAATCGGTAAAGCTCGCGACGCGGTAGGAAACGGTGGCGAACTCGTCATACCCCGCCGGGACGTTCGACTTGGGAACGACCAACGCGCCGGATGGGGTGAGGATCCGCTCCTCCCCGACATCAGAAAAGACCTTTTGGGCGTTGAACATGGCGGGATCGATGTGTTTCGGCGCCTTATACCCCGCACAGACGACGAAGATCTCGGCCGATTCCATACGCGACGCCAACGGCTTCGTCGCCTCGACCTTCTCGAAGAGCTGTTTGAGCACCCAAAGAAGCTTGTGGAAGTCCTGCGAGCGAAACACCTTGGTAACGAAATACCCACCAAGCTTCAGCATCGACGCCGCCATCTTCGCCGCGGAGAGCACTAACGCGTTCTGCTCGAAAAGATCACGCGACCACACCCCACCGACGTTTGGCGCGCCATCGTGAATAACGCAATCCACCGGCTCCTTTTTCAGCCATGTGAGGATAATCTTCCGCGTCTTGTCGTCCGTGATATCCCCGACAAACGTCTTGCAACCGCGGATAGGGGCAATGGGAACGAGATCCACACCGACGATTTTGGATCCCACGGGCATGTACTTCGCGGCGACCTGCAACCAACCCCCTGGGGCCGCGCAGAGATCCACCAGCACGCGCGATTTCGCGAGAAAGTCATACTTGCGGTTCAGCTGAATAAGCTTAAAGGCGGAACGCGCTCGGTAGCCTTGATCTTTCGCCAGGCGGTAATACGCATCAAGCCTGGTTTTGGCCTTCTTCGTTTTCGTACCCATTGTGGATTGGCTGCTATCGTGCCTAAATGCTAATACCTAACCAAACAAACGCGCACCGTAATGGACCACTCAAAAATACCACAGTGATGGATATAGGATTCGTTGATCTACTCACCCTGCAGAGAAGCAAAGATGTGAAAAGGAAATATTGGAAAAAGAAAACACGAGAAAAGAAGAAGAAAGTATACACCCGGGAAACTTTAAACACCATACTAGATTACCAAAACCAAATAGAGTAATTAAGAAAAAAAAAACGAAATAGCAGTCATTAAGAATATCCCAGCAAAAGGGGTGCTCTTAGATATAAAAGTACATATTTCGTAACAGATCCATTTGTCACCACTAGAAATGATACACCTTCAATAACCATATACATATATATATATATATATATATGTATATATCCCAGCATCACCCTATCTTCCCATCTGATGAGTGGGATTTTAGATCATAATTGCTCCTTTTGTCAGGCGGTGCGGCGTTCTAAATTAAAGGATATTGCCTCCACAGACGATACGCATCCGCGATAATGATATCTAACCATAAATTTTCCTCTTCTGAGAGCTCTTGGGAAACCATCGGGGTCGTGCTGGCTGCATGGGATGTAGATCTTCGCGTTTTCTGCGTGTCCACGGGTTTTTCCACAACCGGCGAGTGTTGAGAATCCTCCTCAGAAAATTTTCCCGAACGCGGCATGCTGGAAGCGGCGAAAACAGGGAATTTCGCGTATTCAAAGGGATTTCTCAAGATCTGAATTGCCAGATCCATAGGCGACCCCAGAAGTGCCTGACGCAAGTTGACCACAAAGGCGGCGCACACAAAGATATGAAAATGAAGTAAATTCTCATCCCCGACGGCAAAGTAGGTATCCCAGAGACGTAAAAGCAACGGCAGCGGCAGCTCCCGCACGAGCAGGCAGTGCAGCCATTGGAAGCAGCTGTCGAACAGACGAACCCCACCCTCGTTGAGGAACGCCATCAATTCGGGATCCGCCTTCGCCAGGATCGTTTCCAGGTGCGTGGCGCACTTAAACAGCCCGATTTGCCCGGGAACGTAGTTATCCTGAAGCAGGGAAAGCATCCGGCTCGTACACCAGTACGTATCCGCCTCGATCTGAAGAAGATAGCGCTGGGGGAGCTCCTGGAGGGCGGCGTGGAGGGTATCCGCCCCCCACCCCTGCAACGCGCGCTCCGTCGTGCTCGACGAGATGCGCTGCTGCAACGCCACGTCGCCCTCGGCGGGCTCCTCCCCTCCTCCTTCCTTCTGCTTTGCTGTGTTTCGCTCCCCTTCATACTGGCGAAGGCCATCCGCGAGGAAAATCTGGAAAAAAACCCCGAGGATATCATCCATCCCTTGCACATACCCCACCGCGGGGTGGCGTTGCGACCAGAGAAAAAGGCTCCTCGCCATGGAGGCGAGGGTACCGCGGCAATGATAAACCGAGGCGCGATGCCGCGGGAGATCGAGCGCGATTTGGCTGATAATCGCCTTTTCATGCGAAATCAAGGTCGAGCAACGTGGGGTGGTGACGGAAAGAAGGGGAAACGGACTTCCCACAGGGCTATTCTCGATCGAAGCGGCAACCCCCCCTCCTCCAGCCGGGTTTGGAAGTGAATCCATCCGCGCAGGGCTTCGTTTACAGCCCCTATTCAAGGCATCCACGCTTTGCGCACTGATATTCGTGATGTACTCCTCCACCTCGGAGAGTTGGATGTATTGATGAATGTACTCCTCATACATCATTCGTTTTCGTCGTAGTTCATTTCCTTGGCGACTAATGGAGGGCGGGGTGTACCCCAATAACAGCCGCCACGCCGCGGCCCGCAGCACCTCCGGGCGGCAGCCTCCCCAAATCAACGATCGCAACGTTTTTTCATCATCGCAGGAGACGCCAAGGCTAACGGAGCTCGCGCTCCCGCAAAGTGAAGAAGAGGTTTTCTCTCCCTTCGTGGAGCTCCACCCGTAGCGCTGCTCCACCACGGAGGAAAAGGGAAGAACATCAAGAAGGGGGTAGCGTCGCGGCATCGCCGTGAGGGGGTCCTCCACGAGCAAATTCGCCCCCACGCGAGCTTCCGATGCTGCCGAAGAGGCCGTCGTTCGTGGAGAGACGCGGCGAGCCCTGCCAGGGCCGAAACGCGGCCGCCCTGGGGTTAAATCGGACGTCTTAACCGCCTCCGCCATAAGTAAAAGCAACTGCTACGCAAAAAAAAAAAATAAGAAAAGACGGGTGAAATGCGGCGAAAGGCGCCTGCACAGCAACCTCTGAAAATCAGCGGGTGTTGGGAGTAACCCCCGTAGAAGGAACTGAGAAAGGATGGTGAAAATCTTTGAAATCAATGTAATACACCTTTTGAGGAGATGAAATGTATAGATATGTACGTATAAATGTATGCTTATGCGGTAGCAAAGTACAGAGGATAATTGTATTGATGAACAGAGAAGAGCAATCGGAAAAAAAACATCACAAAAAAGATGAATTGCACGTTAGTATACCCTTCAGATTTAGACAGCATTCACACCTTTTCTTTTCCATTTAAAATCAAAAGCCCCTTGAGATTGTTTATACTAAAAAATGTTTTTTCTTATATTTTGATCAGCGTTGGGTGTTTGTGCAACAAAACCTCCACCAGCAATGCTACAATATGATGATGAGGTGCGCTCTCAACCTTGTCATGCCTTTTTTATTCTTCCTATAGTAAAAAGACTCTCACAGATTTTTAGTGGTCCCATTGGAAAAATATAACACTGATCTTCAATCATGAAGTTGACCAGGATAAATAACGCCTCATTTATTACTGCATTTTTCCATCCTTATAAAGAATAAATATAAAGAAAACACGTAAATTAAAAAACGACTCTTCATCTCTGCTTCCAGTGTCCCTTTATCCCCCATACGCCGAGATAGTTGGAGAGGGATGAGTACCTTTCGTCGACAAACAATAGTAATTGGAAAGTGAAAAAAAATTACATCACTATTTTTTTTACTTTTCCCTCCGTGACCAAATGTTGGAACAGAATATGAGTATACACGTAGCGAAGCTGAGGCGTAAATCTACTTTACTCTCTTGTTTGCCTATTATTCCTACTTAGTTCTGACTTTAAAGCATCCTCCAATAATAATGTCAATAGGAAGAGAAATAATATAAGAGGAAAGCACGATGGTCGAAAATAATAGAGGCAAGTACATCAATATTTAAATCTGTTCCCGTTATTTGAACTTTCCCCCTTCCCTGAAAGCCCTTCGGTAAATCAAACTCAGATATATATAAATATATATATGAAAAAAAAAAAAGGATTATCCAAACCTTACATTATACAATCCCCTTTGCTATAGCTTTCTTTTTATTTTTAATTACATGATATAGACACATCTCAGCCTTTCATATAGGAAGTATAAAAAAAAAGAATATTTTCTTTCCATTTTAACATAATAAGTGTGTACGCGTGCGTGTGTGTGTGTGTGTAGTAGTAGCAGTAGTAGTAGTAGTAAAATATGAGAGAAAGGCAGAGATAAATATATCCTATGATAGTAAAGCACTATCACGCACACACATATACATATGCATTCATACACGTGTATATGAAAATTTTCGACCCGCTGCCCTCCCCCTACACCACCACCACCACCCTGCACTTTTAGGAAACATACTCCCCATCAAATGCGTAGTATGCCTTGTTGTGCATGATTAGCTTATCCCCGACAAAGTAAAAGCTATCGCTCACCGTTTCAAAGGGGCTTTTAATCATCGCATCCTGCCAGGCGGGGTCGAGCTTCGGCATGTCGTAGATCGACTCCCACGTGTTCACCGAGTGCGGGATGCAGAACCCGAACGAAAAATCAAACGACTTAACCAACGTATTGCGGAAGTAATGCCGCTCGATCATGCGGAAATTCGGCACCGCCTCGTCGCCGCTCACACTAAAGACTACCTTCGCGCCCACCGTTCGAAGGTGAAGAAAATCCGAGGAAAAGCGGTAGTGGATCGTCCGCAAGGCGTCCGCCTCCTCCGGCGAAAGCTCCGCCGCACGCGCGGTGAACTCCTCGTTGCACGCCGGATCCCTCTCCACGTCGAAGATCTCCTTATTCGTATCCATATCGCGAATCGTAAAGCGGTAGAACTCGATTTTGTACGTGTTCGCGGTGATCGGGCAGAGAAACCCGTCCGTTGGGGATGTAAACGAAAGGACCTTCTGAGGGGTGATCACGGAATCGTTGGAACTCATGATGAAGGTGTAAATTCAATAAATTAAGGTACTGTATCAGTGCTTCAAGAAAAAAATACCTAATAAAATTGTTGTTTTTGTTTTTTGCCGAACGCTTTTGCCTTGGCCCTTTGTCCTAATATATATATATATATATATATTTATTTATATATAAATACTTATGAGTTTAGGAAGTTGATATTATGAGGAACTGGGTTAGATAATGTATTGCAAGGCGACGTTGTTATCATTCATAAAAAGAACATAGCAATCAGAATATTATGATATTATTAGTACTATTATATGAAATGTTTGCTCGTTTGTTGTTGTTATTCTTTCGATACAACATTATTAATCCTTATTGATGTAGCTTGACTAATGGACTCCTCCATTTGTATCCTTTCGTCCAAAAGCATCACAAAAATATCAACTGCGATAATGGAAAAAATGAAGTCAAGGAACGATAAAATAGGCATTGATGGAGTAGCAGCGTTATTATAGTAATAAGATGCCCCTCCTTATCATGATGCCTGTTAAATTAGAGTAACTAGAAGGAAATGGATAATATTTGCCATAATCACAAACAAACGCAACATCGATAGTGTGTTTTGTGAAAAAGAAAAAAATCACCACTACAGCGAGTGGGTCAGTGTTACAATCATCCTATGTGACGAGAAGAAGCAAAAGATCCAGAAAGGCAATTATATCACCATCCAACACTATTTAAATAATCCAATAATTGACTGTTTCAATGGTAATGAAAGCAATGAGAACTGGGGTACAGTGATATCAGTATTGACTTAGCTTTGAGCTTTAAACCTTCCAACGCCATATGAGCTTGAATAAGTGGTAAGCTGCTCTAGTCCCAATCCTACCCGACTTAATTATCATGCCCTTAGAACCATATGATTAACCCTCCGACACACAACACCTCAGCTGATACTCGGTAAGCTCCCGGTGTGATTGAAAACAAAGTAACAGTACAAAACTTCAGCAGAATCATACAACAGGGCGCATAGAGAGCGTTAACAACAAAGATGAACCAATAATTGTTAAATCAAAGTGAACTTATCAACAGATGGACTACCAAACGATCTCAAACTATCACTGTGAGCAGCTTACATGTTTGCTCGGTTAATCAATGCGGATGGAAATCTATAAAATAATAATCATATCCCATATTTATATATAGATATAGATATTCATATAATTAGATGCGAAAGCCCTCCTTTGTGCTATCAAGGCTTGTACTTTCCAAGCAACCTAGATTCAATGTCAATCACCTTTGCTAGTATATTTTTTCCACTCCTATCCTTTCAGAGCTATTGTTTATGAAAAGAGAATGGTTAAATGGGCAAACCTCTCTTTCCTCTTATTGTCTATTTTTTTATCGATGAATTCCTGCGCAAAAATTTGGTGAAGTACTCCGTCATGGTATAAGAAAACACCAAACGAGGTGCGGACGTGATAATCTTTGGGGCAATACCTTTGTAGAACGCCGATGGGCCCTCGGCGCGCAAGGTTTTCCTGAGGATCTGCCAACCCGATAAACTTTCATTAAGCCTCTGGCTCTGCTGGCGTGTTTTAATCACGTCAATCGGGGAAGTGAAAAAAACACCCACACACCCACCGACTGTAGATGATACGAGATTCTGCATCACCGTCGCTTCCCGATAATCGTTCAATTTAAACACATGCTCCTTCGTAAAGGCGGCACCACCAAAAAGGAGAAAAGAACCTGTCGCGTTGCGCACCGCTGTTGTGATCGTCCCTGCATACAACTTCCTCATGCCCTCGCGCCGGATAACCGAAAAAAGCCCTCGACCTTGGATCACGGACGCGTTGGTTTGATTTAAAACCTTCATTCGATCGAAAGGAAGCAACACGACCTCGGAGACGCCAACGAGGCACCCCGCCGTTGCCTCCAGCATCATAAAGCCTTTACTATTCCGATCGTACCCAGTGCTCATCGCAGAATTCCCGCGGAAAAACAAAAAATTGTAATGTTTGTACAAAAAGTCTCGCATAAAAGGCTGCCCGGCAAATTTGATCACGCGCTGAAACACCTTATACAACACGGCGTAGGTGCTGCCAGGGTAAAGAAATTTCATCCGCTGCCATGGCGTGATCCGGAAGGCTGGATCCGCCCGCGCCTTTGCCTCCAGACCACCGAATATTACGTGATTGACATTATGCAACGTGCGTCGGATCGACTCCGGCGCGACGACGCGGTGGTGATATGACATCAGACGTTTCGCCACGGTATCAAAAGGGTGAAAAAGAAGAATCTCGCAGGTCCCTGCCATCGTCGCCGCGCCGCCGGGGCCGAGGATGAGATGATGGAGGAAGCCGTGCGGCAGCCGCTCCTTGGCGGCTGTGGGGATCGCCCGCTCTCCTGTTCGGGTGCTCGGCATCACATTCTCCCCGCCTGGCTTCATCTCCAGACTTTTCATGAACATTAAGAAAAGGGAGAGGGAGCTAACGGTCTAAAATTCACCACGGTTGGCGTTTTCTTTCGAAACTAAGCAGCCGACGCGTCGAGGAGGGTGAAGAGCGAGGCTCGTAGCCCAATGAATGAATGAAATATGAAAAGGGAAGTTGCAGTGCTGCGTGTGCGCACCGTCACGTGAATGGAGGTTGATAATGGCGACTTGCCCTGTATTGTAGTGTGTTATGTCCTCTTTTCGATTAAGACTGCCTATATTACGTTTGATATTGTGTAGTGTACAAAGCATCAAAGAAAATAGCAAAGAGAGATGGACAATGCGTAATAAAAGGATCACATCCTAAAAAACAATGACGATGTTAAACAAGTAGATCACAATAAACTACTAATGAAAAGTACGGAGGATATTCAATTTCTGAGCTACATTATTTATTTATGAGGGATTATCGAATTATTTTGCGTCAAATAAAAGCTTTTTTGATTAATCCCTCATTCTAAAGCATTTCCATACTAATAGATAATTCAAAAAAGAAATACACTTTAGTAGTGGCAACTCAGCACTCACGTTCATAAAAATACTTCAATGAGAAAATCAGACTTAATAGAAAAATATTGAAATTATATGCATGACTCCACACCAACTACTTAGACACCACGTCAAACATAAAAATATTTTTTTGTTACTCTAAGAAACACATTTGGTTTATATATAAGTCTCAGGTAAGTTGTATCTGTGATTTCCTTCGATCTTTTGAGTGTTGATTCAAGAGCTATCGCAGCATTCAAATTGAAAAAAAGAAAAAAACAGTACATTGGAGATATGTTTCTATCAAAAGAGCATGTATTGATAGAATATCAAAGCAATAAATGCGAAAGCTACTAAGCTCCTGTATCCGTTTAGCCCACCCAGGGTAAGCTAGAGAAATATTGGCTGCATCCTATTTTGTTTATATAAAAAATAAAAAAAGCTTCCCTCCCCTTCTACGCATGGAGGAGGCGGGACCACTCGTTCGGCATCTTTCCATACTGGATATCCATAATTGCCTTGAAGACACGCTCGCAGAGGCTTTCTTCGCCGGTCGGGGAAGGGATGACTACGTCCTCACCGCGGTATCGCAGCCCATTCACCGGCGTCACCACCGCCGCGGTGCCGCAGCCGAAGCACTCGATCACCCGCCCCTCCTTAAGGGCGTTGAGCATCTCGTCGATCGTGAAACTCCGCTCGACGACGCGCATGAGACCCCACCCCCGCACGAGGCTGAGGATCGAATCCCGCGTGACCCCCGGGAGGATCATCCCGTCGAGCGGGGCGGTCACCATCTCCTTCGTCCCCTCCGGCGTCCGCCAGACGACCATGAAGTTCATCGCGCCGATCTCCGTGACCTCGCGGTTCGGGCCGAGCCAAAGCACCTGCTTAAACCCTGCCTTGGCGGCCTCCCGCTGCATCAGCATCGGCCCCGCGTAGTTCGCGCCGAGTTTGAACCCCCCGATGCCTCCGGGCCAGGCGCGGTGGTTGACCTCGTCCACGAGGATCCGGACGGCGCCGAGGGGCGCCCCCGTGGAGGCCCCGACGGGCCGCGAGAAGTACGACCCCACCGGGGACGCAATCACGAAGAGCATCCCGCTCTCCGCCGGGGCGGCGCCGAGGCTGTGGCTGATCCCAATCGCCGTCGGGCGAAGGTAAAGGGAGTAGCCCAACGTCGTCGGGACGTAGTCTTTTTCGATCTTGACGAACTCCTCGAGCAGCTTCAGCAGCTCCGCGGCGTCGAAGGAGGGGAAACAGAGACGGGCCATGCTGCTCTGGAACCTCGCCACGTTGCACTCCGGTCGGAAGAGGCGCAGCCGACGGTGCGTGCCGAGGCTCTCGCCACGGCTTACTTTGTTGATATCCTCAATATCGGCGTACGCCTTGAGCCCTTCAAAGCACTCAAGGCCATAGTGTAGACAAGACGCGTGGGGAGGTAACTCCAGGGGTTTGAGTGGGCCGATGTGCGGGGAACTCCACACATTATTTTGGAACTCAATCGTCAACATGTGAGGTGAGAAGAACGAACCGAAGGGAACCGTTGTCAAGTCTGGCATGGGCGGCGGGTTGGATACCAACTTCTTAGTAAGATCAGAGGCCCGAAACGTCTTGGCATGGCATAAAGAAGACATGTTGTAAAATTATTTGCGTGTATTTATGTGTGTATAGAAACGTATGTGTAATGTGCCGTCTTTAGTGCTATATCGCACAAGAAAATGAGGGAGAGAAAATAACATTGCAGGAAAGCAGTGCGGTTGGAAGGAGGAGAAGAGAATAATTGGTTTCCATACCCCCACAACTGCTAAGTCTGTGTCGCAGCTACCAATACCCAACCTCCTTTCCCAAATAAGTTTCATAATTAGTAGAATGGATAAATCTTGAAAAATGGATTTAAGTCAACATTATGATCATATATGTTGCCTTTTGAACAACTCCGCAATCGAGTTAAAGATAGTTTTCCGTCGGACAGAATCTCCATGTCCCCTAGAAACCCCATCGAGGTTGCCGTGGACGGACCTGTGGTTACCACCCACAGCCGGTAAGTACGACTCCTCCATCGAACATGACATAAGCAAGCCTAAGGGAACAATCCAGAGAAGAATGAAGAATGAACCAACTACAAACAGGCTATTATACTCAAATTGGACAAGCAGAAACCACCAAGCAACGCTTTCCACAACAACGCTAACTAAAGCAACAATGAAAATAGTGCCATTCTCGCTGGGAGCTGGGGGAAACCTGCGGACAAGGTTCCAATATAACACGTTGATTAGTAAACTTAGGATAGAACGCCACCAGCTGAGCTGATCTATTATCATAATGAGAAGATGTACAACAGCAATGCCCACGATAAGTCTCTGTAAGACCATTTTTGAATAAGTTGGGTGATCCTCTACGAAATCAGATGCATAAAAGAGTAATAAGACGACACCAATGAACAGAGCAACAAGAAATACAACCGCCATGAAAATTGTTACAATGCGAAAGGGGCCATAGGTATAAAAAGGGTCTCTATCTTCATATAAGCTATAATGATCAGTGTGGCGCTCATAATGTCTAGTTTCAAAATTTTTGCTAGGCATTATACAGAAAAAAGATTCAAGCTGGCCCTAAATATGTAAAATATAATAGATCTTATTATATGGTTCTTTTGTTGCTATGGGATGAACTTGGAAAATGATACCAATAAAGATGCTAAAAGCGATAAGCAGAAGAATAAAAATATAGCAGGGCTCAGTAACGGTTAAACAAAGCAGCATACATGTGACAATACAATTCGATGCTTCACTTGTCTCTAGAAAGTAAGTGAATTAATAGTTAGTAGTTATGATCAAGACTGAGATAATCAGTAATAGTCAGTAAGCTACAATATAGCTGTGTATATATAGATGTGCATATGTAATATGCTTACAAATCTCTTCACCGTATACTCGCTCATTAAAGGTTGAAATAAATTGAAAGTTGAATTAGTCAAAGGAAATGAAAGAAAAAAATTATGCTCAAATAAAATATTTTTCCCAAAGAAATGAAAAAAAATCTATGAAAATTCAAATAATAAATAAAAATATCATAATCATAATCATAATCACTCTATTTCTTTCACTGATTATAATATTTTAAAATGTATCACGCAAAAAATCCCGAAAACCATTATAGAAATATTAAAAATGCAAAATATCTATGAATGAAGAAAAAAGGGTCTACAGAATTTTAATTACTTTGATTTTTTTTCATATCGCCCCTGTTTTTCCTCCCTCCCCATTAAATATTAAAATT